TGATCAAACAATAAATTGGTGCTGACTGCACTGGATGGATTCTTCGACAGCACTGCATATACTGTAGTGTGCAGAATCCGTCAAGGATATGTGTGCAATTCCAACGATGACCCTGGGGAACGCAAGAAAAAAGACACTATCAGCTGTTGCTTGTTCGTTGAATCGACTCGGCGCTTTGGCTGATGCTTGAGGGGCTGATCGCGGCCTGGACACTCGCTCATAGATGGAACACTTCATGTTCTTCACAGCATCGATGACAACTTGTGGTGCCCCATCGATCTGCAACATGCGTGCCAGCCGATCATTACTAGGATGTGCAAAGTGACCATGCAGTTTCGCTAGCTGATTTCTGACTTCTTTTGGTGTTCGAGGTGCAGACTCAGTGGACTTGATGTAGGCATACCTTGAACCAACCCCACCATAATAGTCGCATTTCCTTTGATCCTCTTCTTGTTCTAGCCGATTGAACTCTCTACGGATGGCGACTTCAGACATGGTATATATTATAGGATCTCCTATCATGTGACCATTGGCATCATCGGAACCTACGGCTAACGACAAGTGAACATCAACATCATCCTCATTCGCATGTACAAGCTCATGGGGGACAACTGTGATGGATAGTACATGCCAAGCAGTACGATGTAGCACAATGGACACAAACTGTTTCTGATTGGGTCTGACGCAAATTGCATGTGTCGAGGGATTCACTTTCATCAGGAGCCATCTGATCATGGTCTACCCAAGGAACTGGACGATTCAGTGATGCCACGGATGGTTCAAGCAACGTCTTGCTCGCAGCTTTTAGGATATGTTGGCAAAACTGTTTTGTCCACATCCCCGCATACAAGGAACGATTTACTCATTTACCGGCCCCTTCTATCCCTTGGTGTTCTTGGGGTTCATGCTGGCATCTTGCACCGCTTTCAAGGTAGTGTGCAAACACTGCCGAGTTCACATCCAACACTGTTCGTTTTCTCATCGGCTGGTTTGTCTTTGGATCATGGAGATGGAATTGGCACTGGTCTACGTGAGCACGATGCAAGTGCGGCCGTTCAGCCATGCTTTGCAGCACCAAAGCCTTACTTAACCACGGCTGTTCAGTGAGACACAACTGACCCCTCCTAGTTTGCCTATCCCATGCTTCGCAGGTGAACTCCCAGTAGTGATAGTGCATGAGACGTGTCCACGTGACAACTAGTTGGTCACTGATGGCCTGCATACAGTTGCAGCTCCATGGCCCGCAAGGCGGGGTGATGATCAAAAGACCATATCATCTATTTGCTTGAGTGCTCTCGCTCTTCTTGCAAATTCAGATCTTCACCACACAACAAATCTAGCGGTTCGGGTGCCGTCCGTTCTGAGAGGCTGGATGCAAACACCGGCGCGGATGTGCTGAACCTTCAAGCAACAAAAACTGCTGTGTTTCCCTAGGCCCTTTCACTGAACTCAGAAGTTGGTGCCCTTCAACAGCATGGGCAATCCCACGTTTCAATCGCTGCACCTGGCCTCTCTGGAAAGCCTTGCTGCACAGATGCTGCTCTACCGGCCCTTTTGGCCTTGGATGGCCTTCACTCATGAGCCGATGTGGCCCCAGACCGCCGCCATCTCGCGGCCGAACAGGCTGGCCAACCACCAGGGATTGCGGCGCCAGGTCATCTGTGACTGCTGGTGTCCTAGGCGTTCTCGAAGCATCAAGGAGATCACCTTCCACTTGTGCACGATCATGCGTTGGTGCATCGCCCAACTGACATTCATGGGTGTATCTTCACCTCCCCGGTGGTGGCTGCCGTCTGGTCTCGCTTGGTTCGAGTCTGGGTTGTGGTCGGCCTCACTTTCTGTCTTGCTTTTCGCGATTTGGCCTCCGGCTACATTTCCGAAGCTGAAGCACGGCCTCTCTGCGCTGGCTTGCGCCTGATCGAGGTCATGCTGGCATCCTCCTCCCAGTCCACTTCTTCCTCCTCCCAAGCGACACTGCTGTTCAGAGCCTCTTCGTCGGAAAGAGGCACGGCACTGGCTGGGCTGGTGATGCCGCCGGCTGTTTCTTGGTCTTGCGAACGGCCATGGGTCACAAGTGCACTAGTGGATGGCCGTTTGGCTTTCACACGAGACCCTCTCCCTACAGCTTGACCTGCACGAATCTCAATTTCTTCAGCATCGATTTTGGGAGTCAAGTGTTGCTCACAAACCAGTTGATTCCATGTTGAATTTCTCGGGGAAAAATCACTGATTCTCAGTAAATAATTCCCTTCAGGAGGAACAACGCCGCTCACCAAGCTTACGAATTTCACATGCATTAGCTTGACAATCCATGCACTATGCACATGCCAAGGCTATTAATTACACACGGCTTTACTGAGAAGAGGAGGACATGGATAGTCGATGACATTGACGTCTAGCACTCCTACATGGCCCTGAATAGGCTACTTCCAAGTGAACCCGATATCGAGACAAACGCCGGACACCATCGCCGAAACGGAACCAATCACTCACTCGCTCAACATGTACATGTCGACCTAGCTGCTTACGGATGGCGACTTATCACGTTCAATCGCCAAGCAATGCCGGCCACTGATCGACTGCAACCGATATCTACAATCATTACCCCTTCATATGCTTCATTATTCATACGGTTATTGAAGGCATCTAGTGCTACGTCACAGCAGTTCCCAGAGCTGATCATGTATACGCCACGTGCTTTCGACCCCCGCTTCTCGAGGAGAGCCTCAAGCACCCCAGACAGTGCGAGTTGACGCTGCTACTGAGCTGCGATGGCACAGTTGCACTTGCCTCTGTCCTGGTCGTCATGGATGCCGTAGAAGATGGCAATGATGTTGATGGTGCCGTTGCGGTTGATGCTGCACCACCGGTCACATTGACTCCAGCTGATTGCTTGGCACGGTTGCGAGGACATTCTGGATCTCTGCTACAACGCCCAAAGCCGCCACAGCCACGGCATGGGTTCTCCGCCATCAACTTCTTTAATCTTTCCTTGGCTGCTTCGTCGCTACGGGCATGTTGTTCGGTAGCCACACGTGCCTGTCGAATAGCGCGCAATTTCGCCTGGCCCTTCTGCACCGCGACCAGGGCTTCATGCTCCACTTGGTCAGACCCTTTTCATCGTCGGCGTTCGTCACCTCGTCTCGGCAACGTTGTCCTCCTCCGTGACATGGGTGCCATAGCTCCGATGCCCTTGCCCCCAACAAGGCTTGTTGGTCTGGTGGTGGGCGGCCCCTGCATTGCTCCCGGTGTTCGGCACCAGCTCAGGCAGTAGAGGACGATCCGAAAGACCACGACCAATGTCATCCTCCAGCATCAGATCACGCTGCGCCTCAACCCGCATCAAGTAGGAATCCAGGCTTTCATGCGGCGCTCTCTTGCACTGCAGGAATTCACGCTGTGCTCGTTCGCCTCTCTGGCCAGAAAGCCCTTGCACCAGTGTGGAGGCCTCCAAGGTCTTGAAGATCACCTGCAAGCCGTCCTCCTTGGTCACTGCGACCACAGACAACTTGCGCGTCAGCGACCACAGACCACAGACTGCGACCACAGAATGGACGCGCGTCAGCGAAGCACTCAAACCCTTTAAGGTCCAATCGCAGACGCCGGCAACAAGCCGCCGTCCCCTGCCCAACATTGAACAGCCCTCTTTTCTATCCCTTGTATGACCCATTAGGGAGATGCAGAGAAGGTAGTAGAGGATAGGATGACGGAATTTTGCGAGTATCTTGTTTCACTTCTTTTGCGGATACTGACTGTTTCATTTCTGGCTCATCCCCACTGGTGTCAATGCGATGATGCGACCAATTCCCAGCAGGCCACGCCTCTGCGACCTCATCGTCTTTCTTACCATGCCCCCACCAGTCCTCTTATCATGCACCTGTGCCGGCCGCAGTCGGATTGGAAGAAGGAATGACTGCAGCTGCGGCCCGCTTGCCAACGTTGCCATGGATCTGGACGCCAGTCATTCCGCTGCCATTGGCTATATGCCCCCACCAATCATTGCCATACCAATACCATCTATCATGCCATTGCCAGTGCCATTGCCAGTCATCATATCGCGACGACCACCATGTATTGCCCCTGGTTGCCCTTGCCCTTCCCAACCTTCGCCACTAGCTGTTGCACTGGCCCACGGATCAGGATCTAAGGCACCGGTCAAATTCTGATCTAGCTGAGGTTCCTCGGCGACTGGCAAAATGCCCGTCGCTGCTGCCACAAAGCAGGCCCGCTGACATACCGGTTGTGGTTTCGTGGCCGCTTTCCTCCTTTGGCTCAACTTGGATAGACCCCTGCCCTGAGTCTGCCAGCTGATGATCCCAGGCCCCTGGATCTATGCGGAACACAAGCCCCGCTACCACCGCTACCACCGCTACCACTCAAATTGAATGGTAGCGATGCGCAACCATAAACTCATCACTAAGCAGCTCCTCTTCTACGCCAGGGAACCACAAAGGGCTGGAGATCGTTGGATATGTGACATGCCTGGCAATGGCTGGAAATGAAAACACAAAAGCAGACACTAGCCGTTGGGATGAGTGACCTTTTGGCCTAATCAGCAACAACAATAACAATCTGTCCTGAGAAGGGGATTCCTGATGCTAGCTGCATGTTTACAAGGCTATGAAGAAGTTATCCGTGAAAATTTTGTGTGATTTGGCAGGTGATGAATGAATCTTCATAATAAGAGGAGTTGTTGCTCAACATGGGTTCCGCGAAAGATAAACATGGAATTCGCGAAAGATTCGCGAAAGATTTTTTATTCGCGAAGAATGGCGGTTCCTGGATAAAGGAATTTTGATCAACCACCATACACACATATATATATATATACGTATATATATATACTGTATATATATTTATACTGTATATTACTGTATATATATTCTTATGTATTGTACACATATAAATATATACTCTATATATATATATACACATACGCAGGGTGACATTCAGACTTGAGACGCTAAGTCAGCCGGTTCAACCCGTGTTTGAATGTCGAGGACAGGTCTACTCTTCATTCTACCAGGAGTTCAAAGGGTTTATACTTTGATCTTCAACAGGCTGGATGTGGATTCAGATTTTTGCTCGCTGGCGCACTTCTTTTGCTGCGAATCTCCTTGCTCCAAAATCTCAGGCGCATGATTGGCGAGTTCGCGCCACATGCTCAGCCATTTAGTTCCGCGAGGTTTTCGGCGCACGAAAACGAACGACAACTGTACAATCGCAGCTTAAAGATTCAACAAAGATAAACAAAGTCATCAGTGCAGTTCTGAATGTTCGTCGGATGTCAAATGTAGTAAAAAGATGTGAAAGAGCAAGGATGCTATTGATGCCATGGCTTTGGCGTCCTCGTCCGCGCTCTGAGGTCAGTAGCTGTCTTCTTTGTCGTTTTCGTGCAGTGAACTCAGCTTGCAGGATGAATATGTCTCCAGAGGTCTGTACTGATGAGTGTTTAGTGAAAATTCATGAAAGTTCATACGGTTTGGGACCACTGTCTTGTGTGAGAACTAGGGCATCATTGGGTAGCGTACTAGCTGAGAGGGCTACCAATAAGAACTGGACGACAGTGTGGCCCGAAAGGAAACAGGAGGGAGTGTATAGATCAAAAGAGAATGGAAGAGAGGATGAATGATGGTGAAGGGTGAATGAGGTTGTTGATGCATCATGATTTTTGACGAATGTATACTGAGTGATGATGAAGTTTTTGGTGCCAACGCCTGTAAGAGGCCCATGCGCGTGTTGATATTTTGGGGGTGGGGGGTGGGGGGTGGGTTGGGGTGAGGTTTTACATCTCTTCAGATGGCTCACACACACACACAGACGCACGCACACACACACACAAGGCTCCGACAAATGAGATGAAGGTGAAGATGAAAGCGAAATGGAAATGAGATGAAGATGGAAGTGAGATGACAGCTACTTAACCGGGACACGAGACGGGGAACGCAAAAGAGGAGAGTAAAAAGGGAAAACAGCAACACCAACACACCTAGCCCAGAGCGGGCAAACCCTGAAAGGGCAAGGGAAAAGAAAAAGCGGACGGACGACGGGCCAAACACCGACCAGAGGGGGGGGGCGGACAGAAGCGCCTGACACAACCTATACAAGGCGAGATCCAAAACCTACCTCGGCACGCGAAGGACCCAAACCTGACCGACAGAGGAAGCACGCATGAGATAGGGGACCAATGGGGAACTAGTTGATGAAAATTGTTGCATCCACAAACGCGTGCAAAATTTCGTGATAAGGCTCAAGGCCCTCGACGTTCAAGTCACAACCCCCTGGATGGCTTAAGTGGCCAACCCTCGAATTAATGCACAGCTGAACCTCACCAACGACCATAGAAAGAAAGAATCACCATACCTAGCATGTCCTGTGCCTGTCGTCACATGTTGCATGACCAAAATGACATGACAAACAGCGGGCAACGGCGACAATCGACAAGGTGAGAAGCGAAAAATGACCGGCTGTTTCACTTTACTTAGACGAATTACCAGGTTGAAAATTGTCAATTCAGAGATCAAGTCGGAGGATCGAATTTCCTACCTAGAAAGGTATTCCCCGAAGGGTGGGTCACACACTTGCTCAGAACTGTCATTGCGAATTTTGTTGTGGAATGTGTCTTACGTGCAAAAACACTCCTCTTACACCTGACAGGAATGGGTCGGCGAAGAGACCCGACAAAGTATCAAGAAGCTACCTTCGCCATAGCCAGTGCAGAATGGAAAAACTGGAAGCAGACCCTTCCCTACGAGTACATTCAACTAAGCCAAATCGTTCCCACCTGACATCGATGACTGAAAGTCCTAAAAATGGAGTTTGGTTCGAAAAACTGTTTGAAAAATTGACATGCCGGTTCTTGGCTTAGCCGGTTGCCACCTACGAAAATTCGATTTGACAAATGTGCAGGTACGTCGGGATGATCAGTCCCGATATCCTCCCAACTCATGAGTAGCTTCGTTGGCAGTGGACTCATGAGTGGGCCACTGCCCCCTGCGAAACTTAGAAGTTTTACATCTCTTCAGATGGCTCACACACACACACACAGACGCACGCACACACACACACAAGGCTCCGACAAATGAGATGAAGGTGAAGATGAAAGGGAAATGGAAATGAGATGACTACGGAAATGAGATGACAGCTACTTAACCGGGACACAAGACGGGGAACGCAAAAGAGGAGAGGAAAAAGGGAAAACAGCAACACCAACACACCTAGCCCAGAGCGGGCAAACCCTGAAAGGGCAAGGGAAAAGAAAAAGCGAACGGACGACGGGCCAAACACCGACCAGAAGAGGGCGGGTGGACAGAAGCGCCTGACACAACCTATACAAGGAGAGAGCCAGAACCTACCTCGTTACGCGAAGGACCCAAACCTGACCTAGAGAGGGAGCACGCAGGAGATAGGGGACCAATGGGGAACAAGTTGGTGAAATAAAATTGATGCATCCACAAACGCATGCAAAATTTCGTGGTAAGGCTCAAGGCCCTCGAAGTT